ATTATTTACGTCAACGTATTTATTTACAATAGAGGAGCTCGATGGCGCAAGTGGTTAGCGCGTTCGGCTGCGATCGTTGAAGTTAAGCAACTTTCGCAATGGTCGGTCATTGGATGGGTGACCAAAAAAATTACTATCTCGAGCTACTCCGTGCTTCGGAAGGCACGTTAAGCCGTTGGTCCCGGCTGCATCTGCAGTCGTTAGCACCCACCAATCCGCACTGGGCCCGCGTGGTGGGTCATGGCCCATTCTCCCTATTCCATCCATAGGGAAGGCCTGTGCCTAGCAGTGGGGACATAAATAGGCTGATGATTTATATTTATTTACAATAACTATTTGCCCATGTGTATAATTTTGTGTAAAATCTTTGCTACCATATAGTATCTATGTTTGTTTACTGTAATACGATATCATTTGTTGCAAAGGTATACCTTTTAAACATACAAAGACCAAATTAACGAACACTCTACTTCGCTTACGTATATTGTAAACAACACTGCCATTCTCAGCCCATCGGCGCCATGTTGTTTTGGGTCACCTCATTCGCTCGCCCCCTCGCCATATAACTTCGCCCTAAATACCATGGATGACGTAATGCCACATGGTGGACTGTTGCTAAGCCATTCTGGGATGTGGCTAAGCAACAGATAATGATAATGGATGAAAGAAAGACGCTAAACATCCAGAACGAAACGAACGAAAGTATTGCCAAATGAAATATCAAAGTCGTTTTCCTGCCCTATAAAAATATAAAAAAATGATCCTAAAACTCCACGGCAGCGAGAGATAGGTTGTGAGTTAAGGATTTTTTTTTAATTTTCTATAAAATTTAGTTAATTTTATGTCCGTGAAAACTTGGTGACAGCATTCTCCTTCAAGTATGAGTAGACTTGAGAAAAAAGGTTAACGAAATCGGTATATTCGTTATCAATTCCTGTAAATAGAGACACATTTTTATTCACAATCACAAAGAAGATAAGATGTCACCGGGGCACAAATTTTGGCACGATTCTCTAAACATACAGCCGTTATCAAAATATTTTTATCAGTAATATGTTTTTCTTATTCCTTGATGGTTCCCGTTAATAACTGAAACTCTAGATAGATTTAACCTTGACGAAGATTAACGTACTCGTAACTCATAAAGACATTATACTTTTTGGTCACTTATTAATTTGCCGAATGCCCCCAGTTATCTCGAGTCACTGGAGCAACAGGCATGTTATGATGTCACTATACATCTTAGAGCAATTATGCTCTAAGCTTGACATCTGCTGGGAAAAATATCGCCAAATGGCAAGTCACAGACTAAATTTATTAGTAGAAATAAACATCAAAATTGATCAAGTATTTTTTTGAGATAAACTTTATCTAAGCAATATTAACCAAACTCAGTAGGTAGGTAGGTATATAGGTATTGGAATTTCCATTTACTGTAAACCGTTTATCACAATAAATATATTTGAACTCTAACTTTTAACAATCCAACGATGATAATATAGTTAGTGCTTAAATATACATACCTATGTATATTGTAGGATAGATAGATAGAGATATATACACCTATAATTTGAGTTACCTGAGATAGGAGATTGCTCAGCTTCCATACATGTTTGGCCTAAATACCAATAATCATGAAAAATTGTTTGATAGATTCGAAATTATATATAAATTACTGTAGAATTGAATATTATTGTCGGACACTCCTGAGAACTTCTATAAACTACACACATCAAAAGTGTCTAGGGATCAACATATATTTTTGCAATAACTTTTCTCCTGATTGATATTAATTAAAATTTTCTTTAAGGATTCATCAAATAAAGTGTTTTCGTTTGTCACAGTAACGATAAACCAAGTCACCTTTGCATTAATAAAGAAATTTGCCATTTTCCTAATAAAGGGATTTTTGACATTTGAACCACTAACACAAAAGTTCGAAAAAAAGACTGAAATAACAGTTTTCTCTAAAATTTTATTGGGTAACTTAAACAATTAATAATCCGTATTTCTACCGCGAACACTAACAACACAAGAACATCGGTTTGGCATACTCAAAATGAGTTCATCCAAATCACGCTGTGGAATGGCCGCCCATATTCGTTGCAACAACAAAAAAAGGTCTTCTTGCGACTGGATACCCTCCATATTCGGCAGAGCTCTTCTCTGTAGCATATCCCATGCATGCTCAATCGGGTTCAAGTCTGGCGACTGAGCAGGCCAGGGCAGGACATTGATGTTAGCTGCGGCGAGAGTCTGTCTTACAACTCTTGCGGTGTGCGGTCGTGCATTATCATGCATTAACTGAAATAAGGGACCGATTTGCACTTGTAGAGGAACGATGACGTCTGATACAATCGTCTCAGCATAAATTTGAGCGTTGAGGTTGCCTCTGATCCAAATCAACTCAGTTCTTCCGCCGATCCAAATACCCGCCCATACCATGATGGTTCCACCACTATAAGGATGGACTTCCTGGCAGGATTTTAATCGCTGTTGGCGTCCAGGGGTTCTCCAGTGTCGTATACGTCTTGTATCCGGTCTCATACCAAAACGAGACTCATCAGAAAAGCACACGAAACGCCATTGTTCTTCTGCCCAATTTCTGTGTTCAAGAGCCCATTGATATCGAATCCTACGATTGTGCATTGCTATAGGTGGTACCCGTAGCGGTCTTCGGGAATGAAGGTTCACTTCATGCAAGCGGTTTCTGACTGTTTGGTCGCTAATTAAGTTCCCTGAAGAGTGATGAAGCCTCACGGCTAACATCATGGCGGTTATTGTTGGAGCTCTTCGAGTTAAGATTTGAATGTATCGGTCTTGTCTCCGTGTGGTGCAGCGATACCGTCCTCCATGGCGCTCAGCCACGGTACCAGTGCTTCGGTATCGTGTCCAAAGTCGACTGATAACACTCTGACTTGTATTCAGAGCTAAAGCCACAGTACGTTGCCGGGAACCAGCTTCTATCATTCCCACGGCTCTGAGCATTTCTTCCCTGCTTAAATGACGTCGCCGCTCCATAATAACGTTGGTTTTAATCAGTAGTAGGGAAACAGTAGCACTAATAATGTCTTCAATGCGTTGTATGTTTTTATAGGGAAAATATTGACAGCTGATTTTCATCTTTTACTCGAATTTGATTCACAGTTCCTGATTCAAATTATGAAATGCACCAAAAAGGATCCATATAAATTTATAAAATCATAAATTTATTACAAAGCCACATCTCAATCTCAAGAAATCCGCATAAAAATGCTTGATCCCTAGACACTTTTGATGTGTGTATATACACTGAACGATTTTGAGGTTATGTTTGCAAATATGTACATATGTCAATATTTTTTGTACATTTGGGCCAATTTGAGCAATCTCCTTTACTACCTAATTTTCAGACAATGATTTAGGTTAAACTAACGCAACAAGCATTAAAAAAAAATGAAAAATGTTTCCGCGCATACTCACTATTTCGTAATTATGAAACCTTAACAATCCTAATTGTTATAAATTGATTCAAATAAAACTACTTTTAGAATCTACATACTGTAAATAGATAATAATTCCGTAATAGGTATGTTTTTTACAAATATGTACCGTTTTAGGATATTTTGTAACCGATATAAATCAAAATTTCTGTATATTGGTTTAGCTAAGTTTAACCTAAGTTTCTTAGGTAACTCAAAATTCACGGTATATATGAATGTCAAATGAATACCTTCACAAGTATTAAACATTTGAAAGAAGAAATAACAATTATGTGCAATCTAATAGTTAAATGCTTAAAAAATAAAAACATAACTATAATTGCTATTCATCATCAGCCTATTAATGTCCCCACTGCTGGGGCACAGACCTTCCCTATGGATGTAATGGGGAGATTGGGCCATGACCCACCACGCGGGCCCAGTGCGGATTGGTGGGTGCTAACGACTGCAGATGCAGCCGGGCCAACGGCTTAACGTACCTTCAGAAGCACGGAGGAGCTCGAGATAATAATATTTGGTCACCCATCCAATGACCGACCACTGCGAAAGTTGCTTAAGTTCAACGATCGCAGCCGAACGCGCTAACCACTTGCGCCATCGAGCTCCTCAATTGCTATTACTTCTTTCAAAAGTTTAATACTTGTAAAGGTATTCATTTGACATTATGGGTTACCTCCGGGGGCGTCCCAGTGAAGTGGCGCACGCTAAGGTGCGTCGATCCTGAGACGCCCCCATATGGGCGTAGGAGGGTACCGGGGGGTTTTAGTGGAGTAGGATCAGTGTGGCCTTCCGCACTGGTCCTGCTTGAGTAGGGTCGGCACTGTTTCCCGTGCCGGCGAGTCCCACACACGCCGTGCGCCTAGTCAGCGTCACGGTATGGTGCGAAACTGCATTTCCCCTCGTCACAAAAAAAAAATTGGTTACCTACAATGCGAGGTGATTGCATCGGGGATTAGCATTCCACAGGAAAGATAATTGGTTGCGCATACTTAAGCAGTAATTAGTCTAAAGATGATTCATACAAATTAGTTTTGGGTTTCTTAACAGTGAGTAAGACTTTAAGCTGTTTCCAATAAACAGTTAAGTTAATGTTTTTTAAAATAAAGAAATGGCTATATAAATTAGTTTATGGTTAGGTAAGCACTTACGTGTGGTAAGCGGCCATTTTGATATCAATATTACCTACGTTAATAAATTAAAAAGTAAATAATAACGAGGCAGTCTGCTGGATCAGTTACACTTGGTCGGTAGCACGAATACGACTGCAAATAGAATTCGGTTAAAATACTACGTGTAAATTAATAGAGTCGAATACGCCCGTATTAGGGTAGCTTTCGTTTTAGTTACCCGATCGTGTTGCACCCCCTATACCAGTGTAAATATTGTTTAGGCCTGAAAATTGAGATTGGGTTTTTGACCATATTTAATTTTGCAGTATTTGTTCAGTTTTCGTAGTCAACATTATTAGCATTTGTAAAGTGTTTGTAGTTGTGCTGAAGAAAATATTCTTTGTTGCAGATAAAAAATGACGAAGTCGTGTATCTTCGACAAGTGCTGCGGCTGCATCGATCTGAGGACGGGATGTCTCATCATCGGTTACCTCAACTTGGTAACTATAATATAATACTCATCTTAGTATAACATTCACGCGCGATTCTGGAGAGAAAAAGACATGGTTAAAATTTAAGTGGTAGTGAGTCATCGGCATGCTCCAAATTTTTATGCGATGTATGTAGTGCACTTAATTGTAATCGTTTGACAGAAAACCAAAATTTATTAATTCGCCGTTTTCTTAAAAATAATTTTCTATATATATAAAACTCAAAGGTGACTGACTGACATAGTGATCTATCAACCTACAGCCCAAACCACTGGACGGATCGGGCTGAAATTTGGCATGCAGGTAGATGTTATGACGTAGGCATCCGCTAAGAAAGGATTTTGATCAATTCTACCCCCAAGAGTATAAAATAGGGGATGAAAGTTTGTATGAAACTTTGTCAATTTTAAATCGATCGAGCTGAGACTTTGCATGCAGGTATAAGAAGAATCATAGATAAATGTCATTGTGTATAATAGAAGCCTGAGAACTAAAACTGTAGTCTACACTTCAGCTCTACACCGAAGCGAAGCTAGGGCGGGCCGCTAGTTATAGTATAAAATTATATAATTTTTGATTGGTAATGGCAAGTTTATTCATCTATTTTTTGTTTCCACAGCATCAAATATATTCTATTCAATGGTTACCTAAAGTAGGGATAATTATTCTTTTCATCCTTCATTATTATTATTGACAACCTCCGTGGCCGAGTGGTTCGTAAGCCGGGTTTCATGGTGTCGCCGGCTCGAGAGGTCCCGGGTTCGAATCCCGGTGGGGGCAGATGTTAGTTTGATGAATACGAGCATTTGTACTCCAGTCATGGATGTATAATAGGTGTTTCTATAAAAATAAATACTTATATATATACAGTATATGTATTCTATCCGTTACCCTAGTATCCCATAACACAAGCCTTACAGTGCTTACTTTGGGGCTAGGCTAATTGGTGTGAGTGTTGGAAATATTTATTTATTTATTATTATTACACTATTAGGTATTTTGTTTTAAACTTTCATAGTAGTCATTAACATTATAGTAATATAAGTTATTTACGGGATTGTTACCATGTACCTTGTTTTTAGCGAGTTTCCGATATTTTGGCACTGTTGCAAGCGCCATGATCACGGATCACAGTTACTCCGTGATAGGTATTTTGTGGATTTTTTACTGCAAGAAGAATCAATCATAAATTGGATAATAAGATCCCTACGATTTCACAAATATCATGCATGACTGGACTGATCATAGTAATTGAGTTGATGTTATAATCTGCCACACACTAAAAATATAAATAAATAATAAAAATAAATATTTCCAACACTCACACCAATTAGTCTAGCCCCAAAGTAAGCACTATAAGGCTTGTTTTATGAGATGCTACGGTAACGGATATGATACATATACTGTACATATATAATTATATTTATATAAGAAATACATATTAAACATCCATGACTGGAGTACAAATGCTCGTATTCATCACACAAACATCTGCCCCCACCGGGATTTGGGGACACCATGAAACCCGGCGTACAAACCACTCGGCCACGGAGGTCGTCATATAAATAATATGAACGTTACATATGACGTGGTAAGTGGCTACATTCTTACAAAATTGTCCAATTTTTACACATGATTTAAAATTAATTACAAATGATATATGTTACGTAGTTGCCGGAAACCGACAATCACCCGTCTCTTGTTTTCTTTCTAATATTTAATACTTTTATAAGTAACTCTGTCATATTTTACCTACAATGTGAAGAAATGGAGAAAGGTGTTGGTTCCAGCCTGATATTTTTGTTTTAAAAAACAAAACAACCCTTTTTTGCACTAACATCAAAATATGGATTATTGAATGTTGGTGCAATTGGACCTCTTATAAAAGTTCGAGCTTTTGGCTGATCTCGATATAGTTCATTCATAAATTGTTTCTGTACGTTTTAATCTTCTGAAATATTTTTTTGTATCATGGGTCCCCAAGCTGTTGGTACACACCAACCATCTTCCCTATTGAAATTTAGTAAATTTAAGAAATTCTAAATTTGTGGGATGTAAATCTTCCTCTCAATATGTCGAATGGGCGAATGTAGGGGAATACCATCTAGTATGGTTAGGAAACAAACTGTTATAGGTTTTATTAATAACACAATAATTAAATGACTCATACAGTTTTACAGTGCTATCTGTATTTAATTGGTAGGGCAGCTGTGATAAGTGATTGTTGAAACGGAAGGATGACTGAAAATCATTTGTAAAAATCATGCGCATTTACTGCATTATCATTCGTCTGTTTATATCCCTACTGCTTGAACACAAGCCTTCATTGTGGATGAAATTGAACTAAACATATTTAATAAACGAGGAAGCAAAATGGTCAAACGTGCTTTCTAAAGCACGGGGAAGCTAATATATTTTGGTCACCACTTGGCTCTTAGCTAAAAGCGACACTCTTAGCAAAGCTTTTAGTACTACTGCATCAGCCTAAGATAAATCTAATGCTCATAATATAGTCTAATTCATTACTTCTAGGTTCGAGTCCCGGTGGGGAAAATATTTGTATAGTGAATACGAGAAATTGTAGGTACATAAGTACTGGCTATTCATGTACTTATATAGGTATATACTCGTATATTTACAATTTAATTGTGTTTATATAATTTTATATAAGCACTTCATTCGTTACCCTAGAATCACATAACACACGCTTTGCAGTGCTTACTTTGGGGCTAGGCTAACTGTTATGAGTGTTAGAATTATTTATTTATTAATTTTTCTTCTTACCTTGTAGATCGGTGCTATAATTGGTGTAGTGATGGGTGCTATATTAGCCATCGGCACTGGCGTCATCCTCTCCAGCGACGAGTTCAAGGAACAATTGCATGACGACCAAGCTGCCGTGGTCACTACGTTCGCCGTTATCCTCGCGGTCATCCTCATCATTTTGTTCGTCTTTTTCTTCATTATGGTCGTCGTGTACTTAGTAGGAATCCATCAGGTAAACGAGAACTGCTACTTTTACTTTCCTTTCCGTATATGTGTCACGTAAAAAGTTAACTACAACGTACTACATAAAATGATCAAAATCAATTTAATGCTGTCAAAAGAGCCTACACGTCAGACCTTGTTATACAATAATAACTAATTTATATCATTCAATATCAAGTCTATAGTTATTAATTTACTTCTTACAGAACAAAAGAGGCCATGTGAAGGCTTACATGGTGTTCGCGGTGATCTTTCTAGTCATCTACACTGTGATGTTCTTCGTTGGATTCGCCAACCCACCAATCAGGGCCAGTGACGTGTGCTCGAAGCTCCTCAGCATTCGTGAGTACCTTTTTTTCTCTTATTTATTATAGTTCGCAAACTCAAACCTGAATTAGGAAATTCATTATAGGATTTTATAACCACATAATGATTGTCGAAAAAGCTATGCCGTAAGCTGTTCGTAAATCTGGGGTGCGAGACTTTGTCCTGAGAAGAACCGCAGGTAGGACTTATCCCATAGTCGGTGATTGCCAAATTGTCCTAAGATTCAAGATCGGCTTACTTGATACACAGCCACAGGGTCGGCAATAGAATTAACACAAAGAGAGGGTGCTTGGAAGGACACGCATTTCTATTGCATCCGCTGTCTTCACAACTGGACATATTTAACATTAGGAGGTGCAATGATATCATTAGCAAATCATTGTGGCATCTTTTACCAATAAACACCCATGTACGTCATCATATCATATAGGTAACGAATGAACGTTACCTAAACTCACAAAAATCTTTGATTAAAGAGATTCAGTCGTAACTAGTAGAATGGAGATTGGGCTTTTTAGGGATTTTTATCTCTCAATTGTATACTAATGAAAATACTGCCTTAAATCGTTATCTAATTATTGATGACTGAATACCAAATTTCAGCAATTTTCGTACTCTCAGAAAAATATACGACATTTTTAAAATGTAGAATGATTTCCTATGTTATAAGTCCGCCCGGTGCTTGGTGGCCGGTTGCTATACGGAACGTCGGTCGTCTCGCTACCCCAAGCGATATCCGGATCCCGCGTTCCGAAACGTTAACTTAGGTTTCCAATGTTAACCTATTAATGTAATTAACATCGTTAGAACTAGTCCAAGATACGAAAATACATATACAAAGAATAATAGAACATATTATTCGTGTGACTATGATTTATTTACAAAAGACGATTAAAACAAAAAATCCTTAATTAAAAGAATGTATACCTACTCGGGGTTCCAGCAATACGTTTCGGAAAAATCACCGTTGTTCTGATAGTGTGAACAGTGTCTGTCAGTGTCACTGTGATCACTGTCAGTCAGTCGATTTCTCGCTATTGCCGTGTAAATTGATGCTAATGATGTAATACTAAATAATAAAATGTGTAAACAAATGTTACCTGTAGCACTGCTTAACCCCTTTTAGGAGTATGAGCGTGATTATGTGTATGTTTGTAGGTAATATTAAGATTAGAGTAGTTGCATAGTAGCGGAGATCGTAAAAAGAGGTTATGTAGATTTATTTCTTTAAAGTCCAATAACTTTGCTCAGAGAGTACGGATTTTGAAGAAATAAAAAGGTCCTAAAAGTATTAAATATAAGCAATATTATTAAGCTTATTTGATTGATGTACAAAAATCTTTAGTTCGTCCCCAAGCTCCATACTAAGATGCCTAACCTCCTTTACTTGCTTAAAGCTGGAACAGGTATCTGTTCTGTGCAGCTAGGTAATGTTTGTATATCATTCTAATTTTCTGTTTCAGTTCTCAACGTGTACTTCTTACTTGTCATCCGAAGCTACTATTACAAGATGAATGACGCGAGCCGTCAGCCTGCCATTTACAACACCGCCTAAGCGTCTATAAATAACAAGTGCACATCAATACATCGTCCACATAAACAGTAAACACATCAAACATTTGTCAAGTGATTGTTAACTCTATAAAAATGATCTTATTGTTATCCCCTGTGGATGGTTTAAACATATTTGGTAGTGAATCCTTGATGATGTTTAAAACTTAAATAAAATATGTTTTTTTATCTTACGATATTGCACTCTACCTTACGATATTCTTTAAGTTGTTTTAAAACATTTTCATATAATATGTAATACCTAATCTGATTCATAGTAAAGGTCCTCTTGATGTTATATTTGGCAGTGTTTTGTGATGTTTTAATTAAATGTATGTACGTAATATTAAGGTTATTATTATGATGCATAGCATGCTACTGTAATGTATGTGAAACGCAAATGCTGAAGTAAGTACAGCTAATTGAGGAATTGTCGCCTGTTTGGATATCTTAAAATTACAAATGAACATATTTTGAAATTAAAATTTGCCCTATTTGTAATATAACAGTCGCATTGAGCGATGTCTTCCACATAATTTTTATATAAAAAAATATAATCTTTCACAGTTTTTGAGGAATATACACTGGTTTTTATGAAATTTACGACAAACTAATTGATAAATTTATCTCTTTACAATCACAGACAAAATGTAATTTTTTATGCTTGTTTCAGACGTTATAGAATTTTATAAGGCTTTCACAATTGTTCATATTTTTTCAAGATAGCATTTAAATGTTATATATATTATAAGAACGTTATGTTAACTTTTTTTATCCATGACGGACCCACCATACCCCTAGCCATACCCCTGGGAGTAGGGTGGGACTGAACCATACCACCGTAGTGCTGTGCACTATATGCTTTCAGGTTTTGTTTTTCCGAATATTACGTAGATACCTGGTGTCAATAGCATCCCATACTATAAAACTGGTGGGTCTGTCATGGTTTTATCACGATTTACCTCATACAATTTTTAAGATGTTATTAATAAAAGAATCACCAGAATCCACCGTAATGCCATTATCCACTTTTAATAAGAGTTTAGTTTTTTTTATCTTTCTTTATATTTAATAATACTTACATAAATAAATGTAGTTGATTTTGTAATTTGAATAAAGCGAAACCTGAAATCTTATTTCTCAAATTTAAAGCAGGCTTCAAATATTTATTGCCTCATGTCGAGCAATCTTTATTAAGGGTTTCAGTTTCGAAATTAGTGCTTGTAACTCACTAATGAATGCTTAACCGATAAAGCTGAAATTTAAGGAACGGTATTAAATTTTGATTAAAAAAAAGTTACACCAAGAAACATGATTTCAACAGGATCCACTGAAATTCCTTAAAAAGACAGAAAGTACATATAAACACATAATATAAGTGAATCGAGCAATGAAATGAAATCAGTGAAATCAACAAACAACTTTAGTACGCTAAACCATTTCTTTTTAAAATAATCAGTTTCAATTTTGTTTTTGTTTGGCATGATGCAAAATGATATACGATTATTTATTATACAAACGATTAAACTTGTATTCTTTGTTAATCCATTTTATCAATGAGTGACTGATTTATCCTATTAATAAAGACACTGAGAAAGGCAGAAAAGTCTGTAGTAAATACTTACTTTAAAATTTGTTTATTTTTTTGGTTACCCTAAGATTTCGCATTACTCGAGTTTACATATTCTTCTTCGATATAAGTTTTTTTTTCTCCTATCTTAATGTAGCTCTCTGATAGATTTATTGTGTTTCACAATGGTTCTGTAAAATGTACCTACTAAGAATATTTAATTTTATGAACTATGTTTTGGTACTATTGATTTTTTTGATAAAAATTTATACTAAAATCGACAAAAAGTCGTAAATAAATACACAAAAAATATCGAGCACAGAGCACGCATATTATTGAGTAAGTATATTACAATATATTATTGAAGAATTGTTGAATTTAATGTTGTTTGGAGAAAAGAATCTGTGTGGTTTCTATTCAAACCTTTCCGTTTTCTTTGTCTACCAACTCTAAGTCTGTTACGTTTATGAAGATAATTGATTTTAATTGTTCATTTTAAACCCAGGTTTATTATACAAGAAGTTTCAAATTTATATTTTGATATAAAAGTTAGCAAAATCTAGGAAAGTCAGATCTCGTGATGAAAGTTGAAGATCAAATCTATTATGTGGTTTAACTTAACTGATAGGTCCTAAATTCATACTTGTATGTGTTGCAATTCATATATTTGTTTCTTCAGGATTGGAATATTTTTTAATTATCCTTTTAATTTTTAATATATTTTTGTTAATTATTGTTTGATTACTTTTAATTTTCAAATTACAGAGCACATTTAGCTGTAACACAAAATGTCATTTTTTCAATCTGTTTATAAGTTTACAATTTGAGATCATTTGGGGAAAATTACATAGTTAGCTTCAATATAAGCTAGCTCTTAGTTGATGAATGAAAGAAAATTAAGGTTAAATGAAGGTGCAGTCTGCATGTCCTCTTTTGATTTAATTTCATAATCAAAAGAAGTTATATTGAAATTTTTTGATGCATGTCCTCTTTTGATTTAATTTCATAATCAAAAGAAGTCTTCTTGATATTTTTTTCATGATATTGCTGCTTTGGAGGTGACCCTTTATTCGGTGTAGTTTATTTTGAAATTTAAAAGTTATCGTTTAAGTACCTACGTCTTGATATATTGATGCACTGTTGTGTATTTAAGTCGAGTATGATGAAGCAGTCATTGTAGGTTAAGTATTAAGCACCAACTTTATACAATATTACGAGTATTTTGTTTTCCACCATCGTACTTGGGTGGAAAATTAAACAAAATTATCTTGAAGAATAATGTCATTATGAACTTAAAGATTTAATAATTTGTTTAATTAGGTGTATCTTAAAATGATGGATATTTTTTAAAATTTTATATGATATAATATAGAGTGCCATTGGCTTCGTACTTTTAAAGTACGCGTTTCAGATGTTTTTTTTAATCACTAAGAAGTACAAAGCTTTTTTTTTTCAAAGTTTGTCATTTTTGTTCTTTATTCTTTTTTTTTAAATCTAATGATTTATTAATTATTTGTAAGTAGGTATCTTATAAATAATTACTATTGTTTTTTTGTGACTGCTGTGTTAATTATTACGTACTAATTAATGTGGCAATTCTATACATTCAATGTAGTTGGTTATGTTTAGCTTTGTGGATCAATAAATTTCTTATGAATATAAAGCCTTAGTTTATTTATAAGAGAGTGTGACTCTGACTGAGTTCCTAAAAGCCACTAGTTTCAGATGTGGAACAACTATTGCGATATATTGTTTTAAACTTTCACGATCACTAACATTGTAGTTATCAGCAGCTTTGCTGTCATGTACCTTCTTTTTTATGAGTCTCCGATATTTCGGCACTATTGCAAACGCCAGGATCACTGTGTATAGTATAAGTCGCGGCACGAATCTCTAGCGCTGACCGTTATTGAACAGAAGTAAAAATTAAGACGTCCTGGGGGGAAACGAGGTGCGCGGGTGGGCGTGCGTTGCGCCGATTGGCTCTCTAGTCATACCCATGCGCAGCTATCCCTTCCGCGTTTTGTTCAGCGCTAGAGTTATAATGCGATTCAACTAAGAATAGGACCGACTGGGCGCCATATTGTGACATCATTAGCTGTCAATTCAAACCAAATAGGTAGAGTGAGCAAAAAAAAGTTTTTATTTAATAAAACTTATTAACTAAGATTAAGTGAGAAAATACATCAGATTTTTTAATAAAATTAATTTACTAAGATTGAGAAAAAACACAACCGATTTTTAATAATATTTCTTTAATAAGATTGTGTGAGGAAAAACATTAATCAGAATCTAGCTCTTCAATTCCGCTCATCTCTGTATTACCGCCGGAGTAGTTATCAATAATCATGCAGGTCAAATACGAACATGCGTCCCTTATGTAAACGAAAGTTTTAAATCGAGTTTCTGAACGCAACATAAAGTGACATTTGGTTGACGATTAAGGTTATCAACCATTCATAGCCGAAGCTCAATAAAAGAAAAAAAAATATCAACCAATATTAATTATCAATATTTGTTATTGTTTGTTTAAAAATGTTTGGTTTTTATTCTAGAATTAGCTGAGTGCTAAAAAGTGTTTCGAGATTTTTTTGAAAACCGTACTTTTCAAGCGACATTTGAGAGATGGAGGTCATTGGCTTTCCTATTCTTATTTGAATCGCATTATACGTGCCGCGACCTGTACAGCTGCTGTACCGTAACCCGCGTACAAGAAGGGGATTAAACACCAACACGCGTAACTGACTACGAGTACTAATGTATGCGCTGTCGCTACGCAGTTTAAGAGTTTTCCTCACCATGGCCCAAGGATTACCTACGCTTTGCTTAAACTCTGTTCATCTTCCCAATTTTTGAAGTGAAAACTTCTTTAGCGGCGTTGTACACTTTTTTCGTATGGGTAAAAAATATTAAACTCGTGTCATGACACGTGACATGCCACATGACAGGTGGCAGCTTTATTGCGAAGAAAATGCATTTTTTTTACAATAGATGTCGCTAGGTGCGCTTAAATGAGAAGTTCTGAGAGATAAACTTTTTAATGTAATATAAATTGTCATGTTTGTGTACGATAGCGCAATAAATAAATATTCTATTCTACCACATAAATGATAGTACTTTTATACTGATAATTAAAGAAATTCGTGCAAAATTATTCCCTAACCATTCCAAAATATCAAAAATGCACAATGTTAATATTCAAGTTTTCACTTCCGCCGGCACTCCCGGAGTGCAACCCGTCGTTTTTATCAAAGAAGTTGTAGGTAGCACCTAGATCCAGGTGTGAAGAGCGGCGACTCATAACTGAATCCCGCAGTTACATTTGGAGGGTCCTGGGTAGATTCGGGTTTACCTGGTAGGTACAGGAGCAAGTCAGCTGGGTCTCCTGACTAGTTAAGTGACGCTGTGAAAGGAGAAGCCCAGGATCGGCCGAAGCAGGTGCGGGCCGGGTTGAACTGCTCGGATGCGGGGTAGTTTGACATCTGTCACGCTTGCGTAAGCGCTCGTCAAAGTATACCCGCACCGACGAGTTACTCTCGCAATTACCTGCCTCACTGGGGTTTGTTAACAGCAAACCAACGCGACGTTGGTCATTGTCGTGGATACAATGCATTTTTCTCCAGGTCATCGAAAAAAAAACGGAAAGGAAAAATGGTATTACCTAGATAGACAATGATACTCTATAGATATGAACCCATGAAACCTCTATGCATTTGTAGCTGAGGGTTTGTACACTAAGGCACCTCGCGCACCAGACGACCACGACCACGTAGCTAAGGTTGGCCGTTGCAGCCAAGTGCGTGTGAGTATTGCTTCTTTAGGTAATCTGCCAGCCTATCACTGACTTTTTTGACATTTACAGTGTGTAACTAAAGTGAAAATTGTATATCCATCAATAGTTTTCATAAAAAATATCTTAGTGGCTGTTGGTGTTATAATAAAGTAGTAGTGGATCACTAAATAGCTCGGTGGTAAGTACACTTCCATCTGTCAAAAGCAGTAAGCGAATAGGCCTACTGGTCATTGCGGACACTGGTCGTGGTTGTGGTCGTGGCAGTAGCCGTGGCCGTCTAGTACGCTAGGTGCCTAAGCAGAGACAAAGAGTTCGTGTCAAATGTTATTTATTTTTGCTGAGGGTAACTACACACAAACGGGCCGACATTAATCGGCATAGACGGACGGCAAAATCGAATATGTGTAGGCGAATGTTCGGCTGTAGTTACTACGGGTTGGCTGTGCGACAAATAATACCGGTCCGATTATGTGTATTCACGGCAAGAGCGGATCCAGCTTTGGCGCCAGGGGGGGGTCATATAGTCGTGGTCAAGTAACAGTGGGTACAGATTGTGAAGTGGGTACAGATGGACCCAGCCCAGGGGGGGGGTCATGACCCCCGTGACACGACACCCCTTGGTTCACGGCTTCTTAGCGTGATGGAATTTTACTTTTAGAAAAAAACGTACATTGAATTTTGTATGTATTTAATTACTGACAGAATTTTGATGTTGCCACAAGAGACGTATAAGATATAATGAATGAGCAGTAAAAATATCAAGCAACATTTATGAGTACAGCAACGTTGCTGCTACGAGTTTGGTAGGCGTTACCATGTGTGTAGCTGCCCTTATAATCATAGAAGTGAGAATACTTATGTTACTCTTCGAGTGAGATTCTTCGTCCAAGGCTACAATATTAATGTATAAAAAAATATTGTTTAAAAAAAATGACTTTTATTTATTGAAACCATCGAACCCTCTAAAGCCCCAATATAAATATTTATATTTAGAATTTGTTGGGCAGTGTTTACAGTATTTAATACATTTTATAAGTCTGGAGTGTTTTCTCAATTTCCTTCTTATTTTATTATAATTTTATTTTGCAAGTAAAAGATGGAAAATTTTCGTGTAAATAAATGCTGCTATTGCATTGGATTAAGGACTGGCTCCCTCATCATTGCCTACATATACTTGGTACAAAGTGTTTCTTACTATTCTGAGTGATTTATACTTAAGTATATGTTATTATTATTGTAGACTTTCATGGTCACTAACATTAAAGTAGGTAATTCCAAAGTAAATTTTACTAGAAAAAAATCCACGCCGCCCAGGCATCAGACGGGACTCGAACCCCTTTCACAATCCGGGCGAATGCACTGACCAATATGCTTTGTACCGCAGCCCTGATGGCCGTGTCGATTTTTTCTCTAGTATTTTTAGACTACAAGGCAGCTCCGTTTTTACGCATTGTAGGTAACCCACAACGTCAAATGAATACCATTACAAGTATTAAACATTTGAAAGAATAAATAGTTATTCTTTAGATTTAATTCATCTATCACTAAATGCTTAAAAAAATAAAGAAATAAACTATAATAGCTCTTTATTCTTTCAAATGTAGAGTCGAGAAAACAGCAACATGTATCTGAAACATTGTTTCATCACCTTTGTTTATAAACCGTTTCTAAACTGTATACAGAGATGGTGCAACAAAGTGAAACACTGTTTATAAGTAGTGTAAAGATCTAAGAGTAGGAGGACCTTCGTAAAACCTGAATACTTTAACAAAATAAACACTTTCCTTACAGTAATATAAAGTTATGTACGGGATTGTTACCACCTTGTTTTTAGCGAGTTTCCGATATTTCGGCACTGCTGCAAGCGCCGTGATAACGGAGTACTGCTAAAAACAAGGTACCTACATTGTAAAAATCCCGTAAACCATGAAAGATTAAAACAAGCACTTGCCTATTTTTGAATATTCTAATTTTGTTTATTGTAAGAAGAAGCTTGAAAAACTTTTATCATTAAAAAATATATATGATTGTGTGTTTCTGCAGATCGACTCATTCTGTACAATAGCATCGAGTTGGTCCTACAGGAATATGTTAGCGGATAATTATGAAGTTGAGCAAAATAATAAAATGGGCGCTATAGCATTATTCGTATGTCTCTCGGTCGCCATCTTGATTCTCATCATAATCTTCATTTTAAGCATAGTTGCCTTAATCGGCATGCACAGGGTAAGTTCGCCATCTTATTGATTAAGTTTAATCAAAACGCATAGTTTAAGGTAAAAGGTTCTGGGTTCATTTGTGCGTCAAGGTGTATGTTACTATAATAAAATACCAAAAGAAATAATAAATTTACCTTTTAATAAGTTTAAAGTGCGTATAAAAACTTGTCTCCTTGAGAAAGGTAACTATACAGTTAAAGATTTTATAAATGATAAGGCACCTTGGGCTTAATTTAATAGACTAAGTCGTTTTACTTTACTAATTTGGTTGAAAATTGTTAGTTATACTTAACTTATTGTTAATTAATAATATTAATGTAATGAAATATGACATCAACACATGTTTTTAGTTTTTGATGTCATCTTTCAATTGACGACACTGTATGAAACAAAACAGGGAGAAAAAAATAGCCCTTGCTGAGTTTCTTGCCGGTTCTTCTCGGTACAAGGTCTCCCGCCGTAGATTTACGAACCGATGGCGTAGCGTTCACAAGAGCTTGTAACAGCCTAGACTGAATAAATGAGTTTGAGTTGGAAGTACGAGGAACTTGATGGAAAGAAGTCGAAATTAAGCGACTCTCGCAATGGTCGGTCATTAAATGGGTGACCAAAACTTATTATCTTAAGGCACATTGAGCTGTTGGTCCCGGATGCATCTGCAGTCGTTAGCACCCACCAATGCGCACCGCCCGCGTGGTGGGTTATGTCCTAATCTCTCTAATCCATTCTTGGGAAGGCTAATGCCCCAGCAGTGGGGACATTTACGGGAGAAGTATATTTAAAATCTCATTCGCCTAATTTACGGTTTTACTAAATGGTAAATTTAGTCAAAAGTGGTATTTGCTTGAAATATATTCTGTGCTTCGCTGTCGATCAAAAGTACCTAATTAAAATTAAATTAAAAGTTAGTGTTGCCGCACACGGGCCACACGCCACAGCCACAAACGCCGCCACGAGAAGTTAGAAGCGGCTACTAAAGGGGCTGAAGCGCGCGACAGCGGCCGACTAAGGTAAGGGAGAGAGGGGTGGGGAATCGCCTGAGTGACGTGTGGCGGCGTTTTGTATTAAGCAGTGTTACCAACCCTTACCAAAATTTTACCCTAAGTATTTTTTAAATTCCCCTAAAATCCCCTAAATATAGAAAATCATATGTACCTACTTACCTTATTACCTAAATTCTTTCGTTGCTCATAAATTAAAACGTTACATATTCTGTTACAGTAAATTATTTTATTGAATAAATACATTTTCCGAATGGAAAATCAAACGAAAATGAGCTGACAGGCGGTTAAATCTTATTTAGCTGTTTTGATTGGTGGAAGGCAAAGAACTTTGGTCCATACAGCCTTAGGAAACAACCTGCCACACTAGTGAGTTCAGTCGTTTCATATCGTGCTGCGTTCCATTCTACGCAAAAACTGAAAGAAAATACACGCTTTGTTTTTCGATTTAATTGAAAGTTTTGTTAAAAGCCCCTAAAAGAACCCCCAAAAAATTCCAGCCCCTAAAAAAGTCACTTTTAACACTTCTAGCCCCTAAATCTGGGGGTAAAACCCCTAAGTTGGGAACCCTGGCATTAAGTGGCCGATGCGGGTCACAAGATGCGAGCAACAACGATTTGTAGCGTGTGGCGGCCACTGGAGTAACGAGTCCATATAAAATGTATGAAAACTACAAAAAATATGCTGGTGGCGGCGTTTTGTGGTTGTGGTCGGTGGCCCGTGTGCGGCGACACTTAAGACAAATAGTTTTTGGATTATTCCAAGTGGCATAAGAATTTGAGTCTGAGTAACCGTATGCAATGGTCATTTATACACTGAAGTTGAGATATACAAAAATCAAATATCCTGTTCCAGAGCATCGTTTTAATTTTCGGATGGTAGCACTGGTTGTCTATAATGTTTCATGTTGTTTAGAAATATTTTTCTTGTCCGATACCAGTTCGTACTTTTACGTAATTTAGCCATAAGACGACTACAGGATTCCGGAGGCTGACATATTATCCCAAAAATTATGTGTGTTTTGTTATTATTTAATGTCATATTTAAGTTGTATGTATAGTGTTTAGCTGTTAGATTTGTTTTTTTAACCATTGTACGTTTTGGTGTAGCACTGTAAGTATACTGTGTAGTAAATAAATAAATACAGCTGGGAATATGTATAGATTAATACCGTAGAAAGTTTGATTTATTTAATAACCAAATACTTGTATTTTAGATAAAGGAAAAAATATATAATTATTTCGACAAAATTATTATTGCTATGGAAAGAATAAATGAAAATGAGTGCTTTTTTTAAAGTTAAAAGGATGACAAAAAACAAGTGTAAGGCCCGCCTGGTAGTCATATCATAGCATGTTTTTTTTTTTTTTTTTTTATAGATAGGTCCGACAAATGACTCCACCCCACCTGATGTTAAGTGAAGGTGAAGTCCAGACGCGAAGACAGCTGATACAGCAGTTCTACCTGCCACACCAGCCATCCTCACCCTGCCGGCCTGCATGTTGCTTCTTCACGCCTCTTTTAAAGGATCCCAGGTTGTAAGAGGGAGGGAACACGTGAGCGGGCAGAGCATTCCATTTACGGATAGTGCGAAATATCATACGCGCCGGGGCGTACATGACATAGTTTTGCATGTAACCTGCGAGCAGGCGTACACACACACAAACACTTGTCCAATCACATTCTATATTGATGGGCCGCAGCTAAAAATAAATGTTACATTGAGCAAAAAGGTTTATAACCCACTTTTGAAGCTGATTTACCAAAAATATTTTTTGTGTGTTTATAAAAAATATTATTATCAGAAAAAAATGTTATTTTTGTTAATGAATGAATGAGCATTTGTCTGCTAAATGTTGAAATCTAAAGAAAAGTTTTACTAGAAAAAATCCACGCGAACCAGGCAGCGGACGGGACGGGACGGGATTTAAACATCTAGCAGTTAAATGCTTAAAAAAAACATTAAATATTATGATTGCTAAGTACAGACCTTTGAAACTTATAACACTTGAGTGGACCGATAGATGAGTCAGGAAGTATACGTCAGAGCATTCGCCCGGTTTGCGATAGTCCCTGTTTCAAGTTCAGCTAAGACCAGGTATTGTTTTTTAAAGTATTTCAATTTAGATTTTATTTACAGGACAAGGAAACTCACATAAAGGCATTCGTTATTTGTTTCGTGGCCCACATTGTTATGCGGATAATACTAAGCATCATATACTTCATTATCTACTTCGCTCTGAAAACGTCATATACATCGTTTAGTCAGCTTTCAAACGCTGGCTTTTCTATATTCTTGGCTGGTAAGTTTTATAAGTATACTGTTTTAAATTGATATAATTTTAAGGAGATTGTTCCATATTCATCCTATGACGTCTCATCCTACTCATCCAGGTCTCCAGCGTGCTTTTTGCCTAAGGCATTGTCCTAATACAACGCGATAACGCGAATGAGCGTTGCGATCATCGTACGAGTCGCCGATCAAACATATTGATCTAGAATAGGTGTCCTAATAGGCGATCGCGCGATGCATTCGCGCGACTAAAATGTTTAAAAATCTATATCTAACTGTATATAAATATATCTAACGCGCCATCAAACCTATTAATGATGAATAGGGTGTCCTAACTGAAGTTCGCGCGATGATCGCGTCGCGTCGATAGGAAGCGGGGAGAGGGGCAGGGCTAACCCGTTCCGTATTCGCGTTCTATTAGGGCACCCAGTTCGCGATCACGCGATGGTCGCATCGTTTAAACGCGCGATGATCGCGTTATCGCGTTGTATTAGGACAATGCCTAACACAATCCATTAAAACATATCACACACACATTCAAGAAAATAGTCTACACAAAACTTAGTTTCCCGCCCCAGCCCCCGGCGACGTATTGAATAGCGTCACCCCGGGACTGGGTCTGGCAAAACAATTAAAAAGACACAGAAAACACAAACGAAATAACCCAGACCATTTAAATAAAGCGAATAAAACAGTATAATAATAAAAAAAAAACTTTGTTTCTCTACACATACTTGCATCAACAATGTTATTGCTTTCCGAGCTCGATGGAAAACACGTACACAAATCGTCTTCGCGCGGGTCGAGGGGCACAGTATTCTTTCATCGGCCCTTTTTTTGACAACCCGCTAGCGGAAGCTCCGTTCCAAACCTACGCTAAGAGTACAACTTTTGACTTCAATTTTAACATAAAACGTATGAAACTTTTGTCAAAGGAGAATGACACATTTCGCCTATATTGCGCAATAATAAAATGTGTATTAAAAAAAGTGCTTTTGAATTAAGGCTTCGTGTTGTTAATTTATACGTTAAAGCACATTGTACTTTAGAACGCAATCATGGCCAAACTTTCTATGAAAATCTGGCATTCTCTTTTGACAATTTGTTGCACCTGTATCAAAAGTATGGGACGCAGCCCTGTGTATTTTGTGTACGACAGCTACGTGAGCGGTAGACGGTGTGTAGAGAAACATGTTTCAGAACAAAGTTTTGTGTTTGTGTTTTTGTTGAATGTTTTCATAAAACTTTTACTGGAGAGCTCTGCTGGCTTTGCTCAAACTATTTTTGTTCCACAACACTACCTAGGTACCTATAAATTCCGGACAATTCAAGTAAGTAACTTTAAGAAACCATATTTAGTGCCCAAAAGGAGGCCCAACTTACACGTTTTTTGACATACAGAGAGTGAAAGGCAACGAAACTGATTCACCATCATCATCATCCTATTAACGGCCCCACTTCTGGGGCACAGGCCTTCGCTATGAATTGAATAGGGAGATTGGGCCATGACCCACCCTGCTGGGGCACAGGCCTTCGCTATGAATTGAACAATGCGGATTGGTGGGTGCTAACGACTATAGATGCAGCCGGGACCAACGGTTTAACGTGCCTTGCGAAGCACGGAGGAGCTCGTGATAGTAAATTTTTAGTCACCCATCACCACCCAGTGACCAATGCGAAAGTTGCTTAACTTCAACGATCGCAGCCGAACGCGCTAACCAATTGAGTCATCGAGCTCCTCCTGAAAATGATTAGAATGTAGATAGAGTCTGTGCGGAAAGAGAATGGGATTTAGATTGGAGGGCGCTGTAGTGCTTTTCTACCGTATTTGTAAGGTTTTACATGATTAAATACAAAAAACCGTAAGAAATCACAACAACAAACAAATCCGTATCAATACAAAACTTTGACGATTTACAGATTGCTGGGTTTGATTGCCGAATAAAAATCTTAATGTTAGTCCTGTTTTTCGCCACGCCCATTCTCTTTCCGCACAGGCTCTATATAATTTTAATGAATAGGTACTTTAACTTATATAATATAACATAATAGGAAAACTATAAAGATTTTTGTATGTTTTAACGAATAAAAGCAAAAACTACTGGACCTATTACAAAAAATCTTTTGACACTAAAAACTACAGTTTTCCTGAGCGACATCGACATTATTATATTTTGTTGCCTTAAAATAAATTGCGTTCACGCAAAGCCGTCGTGTTTCACTAGTACAATTCTGCACGAGAAAATTAGAAGCCGGCAGGTGTTTCCTAAATTTTGATCCTGGTTCATTAATACATATGTTTCTTTCAGCAATTTACATCTATTTCCTCATTGTCCTCACGAGCTACTACTACGAGATGCAAGGTGACTGATTAATTAAACGATTTTTTTTTTATATTTTACCATTTTTTTTTATGTATTATTTTTTTTTATAAGAAACTGATCTAACGTGTATTTAATTGTAACTGTTTGTGTTATATAAATGAAATAATAAATAAATATTTATTTTACATAAAATTTTGTACCTATTAATTGCATTAAGATCGTCGTTTCCCAAACAAGAGTAGGGTTTCAGGGCTCCACGGGGTAGAGGATTAGGTTCGGACAACCGAACACTGAAAGAGGGGTACTAAATTCCATTAGTTGTGGTGGAATTTCGGGGTAGTTTTGATGTGGGAGGGAGGCGGGGGACTCCCCGACTCCCCCCCTACTAAAAATTTCCTTTATTCTCATTTGTTCGATTCATTAGTTCGATCGTCGAACTAGTGAGATTTTTTTTCCTCATTAGTCCGATCGTCGAACTACTGAGATTTTATTGTTCTCATTTGTTCGACCTTCGTCAATATTGCATCCATAAACATTTATAAAAATCACTATTTAGAAAGAAGTACTATGAAACCATACAAAACTAAGAGGTTCTGGTAATAAAAATGGATAAATAAAGAAAATAAGTTCGACGACGTTCGAACAAATGAGAACAATAAAATCTCAGTAGTTCGACTATCGAACTAATAAGAGAAAAAAATCTCACTAGTTCGACGATCGAACTAATGAATCGAACAAATGAGAATAAAGGAAAGATTTTAGACGGAAATACATGTTTTTTTTTTAATTAACCTAACCTAAAAATTCATTATTTTTTAGGTTGCTTGCAGCACTAGGGAAGTAAGAACCAGTACTTCTGCCTTATCTCCGGCGCTGCGGGAATAGAGCAGCCCCTCCGCCTTTGCGTGACAAAGTCACAAGCATCACTCTTCTCCTCCACCTCCGGCGGCGACCAGCCTCAGGCGCTTAGGGATGGGCGTTTTTAGAATAACGATGCGCGATAACGATGCGCGATAACGATGCTAGGTTCGGATGCGCGCATCCGATGCGACTGGATGCCGTTATTGGATGCCGATGCCATCTAGTTTTTGTCAACGTTACTATAGCAACAGTGCCACAAATTTATCTGTGCCGGTGGAGATGTCGCTAGCGGTGAACAAATATGTCATAAAAATGTCAAAATGCTATGGATAAGTTGTAGTTCAAATTTTTCCACTGGCACAGAAAAGTTTGTGTCACTGTTGCTATAGTAACGATGACTAAAACTAGATGGCATCGGCATCCATTAACGGCATCCAGTCGTAACGGTTGCGCGCATCCAAACCTGGCATCCTGCCTGCGTTCAAAACCTACGCTCTGAGTGAATTTTTTTATGTAAGAATTTTGCCAGTATTCAATCTTTTCAGATAACATACCGAAAAGTAAATAAATGGTTTTCGATTACATTTTCAAGTTCTGATTCAAGGAATCGAAGAGACACACCCACACAAAACACGCATCTGTAGAAATTCATATTGCATCGTATCCTGTGATACAAGATATCGACATTCAATTGACATCGATGCGATGCATCGATGTCAATCCGATGCGATTTATCTGATACCGATGCGCATCGATTTCAAAAATATCTAAAAACGCCCATCTCTACAGGCGCTACGGTTCGCACGATGCTTGCGGCTTTGTCACAGCAGGCGGGGGCTGCTCTCCCTCCGTGCCCCGGGCTCTAAAAAACACTCTAGGGGTAGGGCAGACCAAGACCACGGCGTGTCGGGGTTACCAATTAGGTTCTGAATTAAAAACTGTTGTACACTGTGCAGCCAAGGGCGGATCCAGGGGGGGGGGGTCATGGAGGTCATGACCCCCCCCCCCCCCTGGATCATGACCCCTTGGGCTGGGTACAGATGGACCAAACCCAGGGGGATTTTATTTAAGTACTTTCAATATTTAATATACCACGACTATATGACCCCCCCCCTGGCGCCAAAGCTGGCTATATGACCCCCCCCCCCCTGGCGCCAAAGCTGGATCCGTCCTTGTGTGCAGCTATCCCCTACGCGTTTTGTTCAGCGCTAGAGTAACATGCCGGGACCTGTATGCTAATGTCATTCCAACGACGTCAGTTAGCCCACTGTCTTTGTTTTTTTTTTTTGAGTATATAGCAACAAACAGTAGCTGCAATTAGAATTTATTATTCTTCTTCGTAATCAGAAATCATTTTTTTTGATACAAATAGGTAGTACGGCCTATCGAAAACTGAAGAACCGGTGTGACGCACGTGAGTGGGGAATTCTAATTGGCCGAAACCATTTGGTGTGGCGCTACAGTATCACCAGCTTTACATTTCTGTTTATTGTTATCTAACAATATAATTGATTTATTCAAGAGTCTAAAATCTCAAGAATTGATGATTGGACTAGTAATGAAGATTATTAATATGTTCTTGATACGCTGATCGTAAAGTGAATAACGAATTGATTGATGGAAATCTTGAAAACAACTGTACAGGTGTACACTGTAAAAAATATCTTAGTAGAAGTGCAGATAGCACAGTAACAGCTTATAAATATATTGTTTTAAACTTTCATATAATTATTTCATTTATTTCATATAAGTTATTTACGGGATTGTTTGTCTGTCTGTGTCTGGAATCCTGTGGTTCGTATGTGTAAAAACCGAAAAAATCATAATAATGTCGTGTCGTGATCCGATACTGTAAGTGTTGTGTGTCGAGAACAGTTTCGAGTGAAAAGTGAGAATGTAAACTGTGGTACGGGTATCGAACGCAATAAAAGAAATCATCGGAGGGTAGACCGATATGTCTGCAGCCAATAACAGCCTACCCGCAACTACTTCAGTTACTCCGTGATTATGGCGTTTGCAACAGTGCCGAAATATCGGAAACTCTCTAAAACAAGGTACATGGTAACAATCCCGTAAATAATTTATCAAGCTATTAAATAGTCTAGTTCAAAACAGGGCAATAATTGCATTCAACACGGGAGTCGATTTTGGACATAATTTACTGTGTACTTTGATTATATACACGCCTAGTAGAGCAATCCAAATAAACCACGCATAGAAAACGGGTCATTTTACGCCCAATGTTTGCGTGACTTTAATGTGAGATAGTCAATGTGTGCGTCATAGCGACGAGCATATCTACCATATATGTAGTAGATATTTTTCGGCCACTTCGTGCCGATAATACGGTATTTTGGCGTGTATATAATCAAAGACTAAATGGTTGTGTAGGCCGCAGGTGACTAAGCCCGTACTAAAAACTCAGCGAGTCGATTTGCGGCAAGCCAAAATTGCCCAGTAAATTTACCAGGTAAACACGCCATTTGGTGCATATTTAAATCGGGATTTTATCTAAAAGTACTGTAGCAGGAACTCGATTGGTTTTGGGATTCAAGTATGTTTCAAGAGTTTTATTATCTTGGATCAAATTGGATTATTCATTTCAGACACCGCTCATAGTATCAAGTTATTATTTTATCTGGAATCCAAGCATCTTGTGAAGATTTCACATTTGCTTTGAAATATATTATATAATTAATTATATGAAAAAAAGCTTTATTTATTTTCTGTTTTGTGCGTGATTACAATATGTCTTGGTTTACTTAGGCCCAAGCATTTCCTCTGGACGCACCCACTGATCAAATTGTTCAGCCGTTAGAATTCCTAGCTTGATCGCCGTATCTTTCAGGTTTCCGCCCTCCTTATGGGCTGTCTTCGCTATTTGTGCAGCCTGAAAGAGCATAAGCAGACAAAAATGCATCACTGAACTAGCAACGAGGGTTTTCAGAAATGATGGGAGCCAGTACCCCTAGCACGAACCATTATCGAATTCGAATAGTTTGCAAACTGAAATGTCAATGTCAAATTTTGTATGGAAATAAACAGCAGCGGCACAAAGTACGTAACGAGAACTAAAAATTAGTACAGATTTAATGACAATGACATTTCGGGCTCGCAAACGTTACGAATTCGATTTTGGTTCGTGCTAAGGGTACAGTAAACATTTGACAATGACATTTCGGACTCGCAAACGATACAAATTCGTTATTGGTTCGTGCTAGTGGTACCGATGAGGCGAAAGGTCTACTCATCCGTCATTTTGCATACGTCTTCATAGTCTATGGATCAAAAATGATAAATTTCATACAAAAGACCTCACGCTACAGTGACGCCAACTAGTGACGTAAATTTTCCTAAACATCCTCATTGGTAAATTTATATCCCCATGACTAGAGATATTAAATCAGATTTTTAGCATGTAGATTATACTGAACACAAACATTAAAAGAATGGGATGTATTTGTTTTCTACGAAAAGTACGGAAGTCGCAGGCACAGAAATAAAACTTAATGGAACGATCATCCCACATAATCCTCACTGTAGGTCGAGAGGTTTTACGACGATTACGTAAGCGGCTTATCAAGCTACCTATACCTACTATGGACAACTGACCAAGTAAGTACTTATTATATTTTATAACATACTAGTTGACCCAGCGGACTTCATACTGCTTACAATAATTTAGAAGAAATTAAAGCTTCCAACAGAAACACAGCTTTTACCAGAGTTAGCAATTGTTAGGAGAAATCTTCTATTATTGATTGTTCAGCAATGTTACTCTCATTTTTACTTCCAACTAAAAATTCATTACGTGGCGTTACAAATTTGATTAATAGAGGAGGAAATACCTTATTTCATTCGCACTAGTCGATGTTGGAATAAGTGCCATTATTTGGCGGAAATCTCTAGATAGTAAAATCCTTGCGCTTCCTAAACACCTTAATCTATTTGTCTACCGCATTTTTCTAACAATATGACCGTCTTTCCAGAAGAAGCAACAGCTACCATAATATCAGATTCTGATGGATCCAGACAGATATGATTTTTGAAATTTTAGATTGTGAATTCAAAAACTCGCATGTTATGAAAACGAAAGAATGCCTGAGTTTTGATATAGTAAAAACTTTTGAAATTAAGTTTAGTCGTATTAGTAATGTTGATGTTAATTTAAGATTTATACGACAAATGGTACATTCTATAAATATCAAAGTCGGAGTATATTATTTTAAGTTTTAAATTGTTACTTTTTTACAACAAAACAGTTACTGCGATCGATACGAATTGTAAGAAATAAATACCGTGTCTAACACTTTTGTGGTAAGCCCGTTTGAAGTTATAGTTAACATTAAGTGGTTAAACAATTAAAATGGCAGATACCATTAGATATAGCTCAATGAGTTCTTTAAGAATTACCTTGTCGTAACCGATATGGGGGTTGAGAGCAGTGACAAGCATAAGGGACTCATGCATGATCTTGCCGATTTTCTCTTCGTTGGCTTTGATGCCCACTGCACAATTTTTGGTGAACGCTTGACACCCGTCACCTTAAAAGGAAACAGGCAAACAAAATATGCTCAAGACCAATCTAACTGAACAAAATCAAAATTGTGTTTTATGACCGATGTAAAATATTCCATCATCTACATAAATAAATATCTCTTAGCAAACTGACAAATCACATTTATCAATTAAGTACAATTAAAAATTGTCAATACGGGATGAAACATGATAATTTGCATTTTGAATAAATTCTAGACAGTAATCATTGATTGGTGATTTCTAAGTATAATGACAACATGATCGAAATTGTTGGACAACATATATAAATATCTATGTCTACTTCTAAATAGATTTTCCTTTTTTTGATTTTTATTTACTAGTCATTGTTTTAGCATAATATGAAACTCTATAATAATTATATATAAGAGAGTTCTACTGTTTTAATAGCCAAATGGACCTTAGTGCGTTGTACAGTAACAACAACAACGTATAAAAATTCACGTCCTTAAGATGACTTTTCTTTATCTAACATTGGTTTATTTGGCAATGTTTTGACTTCAAAAATGAACTGCTTTGATAATAAAGTTAACCTGACCTAAACCGTATGGATATTTATGCGTTGGACACTAATAAGAAGTACATATTAATAGACATGTCTCAAAGAAGACCTTTCGTTCCATAACTCTCGAACATTTGACAATGTTTTGTACTCAGTGGGGCTCAGCTGCTAATATAGAAAGTATTTTCGTACTGCAAAAGAGAGCTGTTCGCGCCATATATAATTTAAAGGCAAAAAGATCTCTTAGAGAAAATTTTTAAGAAATTAATATTTTAACACTGGCATCGCAATACATTTATGAAAATATAATATATGTAAGAAAAAAATATGACGCATTTGCAAAAAAAAGTCAAACCCATAACTTTAACACGAGATTTAAAAACAAGCTTGCCGTTCCATGTTTCAGATTCCAAAAATCAAGAGGTTTATTTCTGGGATGTAGTATTGCATTGTTTAACAAAGTTCCCCAAGATCTGATTGAGCTTCCACTAACCAAATTTAAATCTCAGATCAAGAATACTCTTATGAATAAGGGCTATTATAAAGTTAATGATTATCTAAATGATCGTAATGCATGGACACAGTGTTTCTTGTAATTTGTTATTTGATGGGTATGAGTCAGTTTTTGTAACAGTAATATGGTACCTATCTAATGCCGCTTCCTATATACTAAATATAAAATTTATTGTAACTATATATCTATATCCTAAATAATGTAATGGAAGGTGACTTCAGAAGTATGTCTGAAGTCATTTTTCAACTTGACGACTCTGTATATATCAATACAGGGAAAAAGCAGCCCTTGCTGAGTTTCTTGCCGGTTCTTCTCAGTACAAGGTCTCCCGCCGTAGTTTTGCGAACCGACGACGGCGTAGCTTCTTGACCCTCACAAGTGCTTGTAACAGCCTAGACTGAATAAATGACTTTTCATTTCATTTCATTTCACTGATCTAACAGACATGTGGACCGCAGAACGCTGCAGTTCGTTCATTTAGCAATGTTCTGACTTCGATAATGGACCTCTTTGATAATGAAGTAACACTGACCTAACAGCCGTATGGACCGCAGTACGTTGGACACTATCAGAGGCTTGTAGACGTTCAGCTCGAAGTAGCCGTTGGTACCGCCGATGGTGCACGCCACGTGGTTGCCGATCACCTGCGTCGATATCATCAGCAACGACTCGCACTGTGTCGGGTTCACTTTGCCTGTCACGATCATCGTTTAATGTAAGGTGAGTGAAACTCTAAGGATACACAGGGTAGGGGGGATTGGGTCAGGGTGGGCAACGGAGCAAGTGGTATTTTTGGTATCGCTGCGTCTGTAGACTATGGTAGCCGCTTACCATCAGGCGGGAGAAACGCTTGTTTGCCAACCTTTAAACATAAAAAAAACATCATAATAGGTATAGGTATTAGTGTAACGCCGAAGAGTTGGATGGCGCAAGTGGTTAGCGCGTTCGGCTGCGATCGTTGAACTTAAGCAACTTTCGCAGTGTCGGTTATTGGATGGGTGACCAAAAATTACTATCTCGAGCTCCTCCGTGCTTCGGAAGGCACGTTAAGCCGTTGGTGTCGGCTGCATCTGCAGTCGTTAGCACCCACCAATCCGCACTGGGCCAGCGTAGTGGGTCATGGCCCAATCTCCCTATTCCATCCATAGGGAAGGCCTGTGCCCCAGCAGTGGGGACATTAATAGGTTGATGATGATGATGATGATGTACCGGCGAATTCATGTGAGTGGGTCAATTGATTTCCCACACAAACGTGTGGAAGTCGAGTACTGAGTACGCGAGATATAATACGCGGATAAAATACATTTAGCTACGTGTACCCTCTACGACAGTGTTTCCTAACCTTTCCAATACTGCTTCCCCTGTAACCTATTAGGAAAACAGATTTTACCCCGACTTTAAAATGTTATCATCAGTTCAAGAAATTCCAATTTGGCCGCTACATCGTGTTCTCTAATAATGTCATCATCAGGAGAAATTCTCGCCCCGCTTCCCAGAGTCAGCACCCCGCGGGCTCGCTAGCAAGAAGAAGCGGATGCTCCATTTAGTAGTATTATTATATAGTATTTTCTTATTATTTAGATTTGACCAAATAATAAGGTTTTTTGTTACCCCCGAAGTATGGCTGATTTATCCCCGGAGGGGTAATTACCCCCAGGTTCGGAACCCAGGCTCTACGAATAACTATGAGTACAAAATATACTGATTTCCGTTCTTAACTAACCGGGCATGATAGAGGACCCCGGTTCGTTTTCAGGCAGCATCAGTTCTCCTAAACCACAGCGCGGACCTGAAGCCAGCAGTTGGATGTCGTTGACTATCTTCATCAGTGAGCAGGCTACCACGTTGAGGGCTCCGGACACTTCCACCATCGCGTCGTGGCAAGCCAGTGCTTCGAATTTATTAGGTGCAGTCTCGAAGGGAATTCCTGTTGCAGAAGAGTCATCATCACTATTTATGTCCCCACTGCAGGTGCACAGGCCTTCCCTATGGATGGAATAGGAAGATTGGGCCACCACGCCGGATTGGTGGATGCTAACGATTGCAGACGCAACCGGGACCAATATCCTTACGTACCTCCCGAAGCATGGAGGTGCTGAGCTTGAGATAATAAGTGTTTGGACACCCATCCAATGACCGACCATTGCGAAAGTAACTTCCATGATCGCAGGCCGAACTAGCCATCCAGCTTCTCCAACAGAAAAGCATTAAGTGTTTTTATTTTATATGTTGCGAACATGTGACAATGATTCTCATTGTTTTTGGTTACGATGGGAGCTCACTGGCACAGTGATTAGTCGTTGAAGTTAAGAAGCTTTCGTAGTGGTCGATCATTGGATGGGTAACAAAAAAAAAATAATTTCACTAGATCCTCCGCTGCATCTGCAGACGTTAGCACCCACTAATCCGCAATAAACCCGCGTGACACGTGCCCCAACTGTGGGGACATTAATAAGCTGATAATGAACAGGGCCGGAGAATTCTGGTATGCTAAACGGCAATATTCCCCTATACCTGTGAGTCTGGCTATCTCAGCGGCGCATTTCTCAGCGAACCCGATGCGTGTGTTGAGGCCGGTGCCGACGGCAGTGCCGCCCAGCGCCAGGTAGTGCAGGCGCGGTAGTGTGGCACATATGCGGTCGATCGCGTACGACAGTTGCGTGGCATACCCGCTGAACTCTTGGCCGAGGGTCAGTGGCACGGCGTCCATCAAGTGGGTCCTGGAAATAGAATTACTTATTAAAGCTTACGTCTATTTAGAAAAAAAACGACGGGTATTTTCAAGATTCGTGTACCACGTATCTACGAACGTCCATGTGTCTTATTTTAGTTACCATAAACCACTTGTCACTGTAATTAATAATGCAGACAATGTTGATTTAATTAATATTTAAAAAAATGATAATAGTCTGATAATAATAATTACATAATTTATCAATATTCCTAATGATATATTTATGCACATCTGAAATTGACTATTGTAAAAAGTTTAATGTAAAATATTTCGTCGATTAGTTATTGTTCATGAATAGCTCCATCTAGCGATCGGACGTAACAACGCACGAACAAGGGCGTGTTTCAACTGGCAACAATCTGTCGTTGGAAGTAGTTATCACCGGAACCACGGGATGGCGTTATATATCAATATAAAACCCAAGAGCACGATCGGCGGAGCACTTTTTTGGCCAAAGGGGTCCAGCTTCGACTCCTCTCAGACTACATATATATATATATATTCAAAATTAATGTAACGAAGTTGAAAATATATCTTTATTTATTTATTGAGAAGTTCGCTTTATTTCCTCAACAAATACAAGAAAATATACAGTTATAATAAATGTATATGAAATGAATAAATATATATTTATATATGTATATTATTTTCATTAATTTGTTAATTTACCCTTTCATACAGTATCAATCTTTTTTAAGTTAATTAAACTCTTTTTGCGTCTGGTTAGACTATCGAACTTAAGAGTAAACTCCAGTCGTGCGTCGGAGCTGACACACACAATTTTTTTTTACACGTTAACATTCCTAAACGATTGACGAACATTTCCAAACTTATGAAAGGTAATAAAAGTAAATTCAAATCAACCATGTTTGATTGTGAGTGAAAGCAATACGCTGCAGATGTAACTCTTCAGAACAGAAAAACTCTTAATGGGTAGGGCTGCATTGAAAGTATTGTTGTAGAGAGGTAACAATAACTTATAAGATTCAAAGGGCTTTTCATAGTTACTAACTTTGTAAGGGGCGTGTATCAACTTATGTATGTATAATTCCTAAATTCCTAGGAATGGAAAGAAGGCACTGCGATCCATGATTCCAGCTATAGCGGTAATTAAACATTTATAACAGCCCATCCTTGGCAGCAGGGCTTGAAACCGGTTTCAAAAATACCGGTAAATAAAGGATAATACCGGTTTTTAGTAAAGGTTTCGTTCGGAGCGCGTCCGAAATGAAAGCGGTACCTAAAACCTTAATAAACGGGTTTAATCCAGAGCGACACGTGCACGCGTGGGCATCGATTTAATTTTGTTTTGTTTGAAATAATCAAGTCACAACTTGTTAATGCTCAGAGATTGATGCATTTATTGACACGTTTGCTAGCGTCTAGTGAGTCAAGTTATTCATTATGTAGTTGTGTATTTATTTCAGCAGTCAGTAAGAGCGAAATGAAACGATTTGAAAAGCGCTAAATTGATTCAAAACCTATTTGATTTCGCTTTTTAAGAAAACCGGTTTTTTAAAGTTAAGCTAGAGCTAAACCTAAATTAAACGCTCCTAATGTACTTGACACTGATTTAGGTTTGAAAATTAGCCGGTAAACAAGCCCTGGATCCATGATTCCAGCTATAGAGATAATTAAAAAAATTTATGCCCAGCCCATCCTTGGCAGACGTACGAAAACTCCAGCAAGGTTTACGTTGGCTTGACAAAGCCGTTCGTACATAAATCAGAACTTTGATTGACTAGAGTCAATGCGCCCTTGCTGAGCAGCTTGTCTACAATTTTTGGAACGAAGTTCTATAGGGATTTTGCTGCGCGACCGAACTGAAAAAAATGTGATAGTAAAACCGTAAGAAAAAATCCGTGGAAAAAAGTGCGTGGAATAAAAAAGTTAAATGAGACGTGCGCAGGCGCGACGAAGTTCTTTACGGCAGGAGAGAGAGAGACGAAGGTGCATCACTGAAATATTGTGATATTACACCAACACTGAATATGTGTGAAGTTATAGGGAGTGGTAGAGCGACGAGGGTGCATCACTGAAATATTGTGATACTACACCAACAGTGAATATGTGTGAAGTTATAGGGGGTGGTAGAGCGACGAGGGTGCATCACTGAAATATTGTGATATTGACCAACACTGGATATTTGTGAAGTTATATCAAGCTGTGGACCAGTAACGTCTGTGAGACATGATTATGATTACAAGGTGAGTACTTATCAGGAGGTGGCAGAGCGACGGAGGTGCATCACTGGATTATTGTGACATTGTAGTTTATTCTAAACTGTGGGCCAGTCCTGCCTAGCATCCTTTACGAACGCTAGCGGGACATGATAATAAGGTGCGTATGTAGGGGGTGGCACAGCTACGAGGGTGCAGCACTGGAATATTGTGACATTACACTAAATCTGGATATTTGTGACGTTATACCGAGCTATGGACCAGGAACGCCTGTCATCTGCTGTAAACTTAGCTAGACATGATAACAAGGTCAGTACTTAACAGGGGGTTACAGAGCGACGGGGGTGCAACCCCAAATTATTGTGGCATTATACCAACACTGGATTATTGTCGTATATTATACTAAACTGTGGTTAAGTCCAGTGGGGTGGCAGAGCGACGGGGCTGCATTACTGGATTATTGTGACATTGTAGTTTATTATAAACTGTGGGCTAGTCCTGCCTAGCAATCTTTACGAACACTAGCTGACCGAACTGAAAAAAAATGTGATAGTAAAGCCGTAAGAAAAAATCCGTGGAAAAAAGTGCGTGGAATAAAATCGTTAAATGAGACGTGCGCAGGCGCGACAGTCGCATACACAAGTGAGTTTGCAATTTGTGTCGATTCTACATTAGCCGAAGGAACTTCGTTCCTACCTGGTGTCCCACGACACCACATAATTTTTTTTTAGTATTTTCACCTGCCAATTTTGATAATGTTCTCGAACTCCTTGGATTTAGCTTGTATCGTGTCCCTGAGAGCCACAAGTCCAGGCATCAGCCTGTCCCTCATCTCCATGGCGACGGCAATGTGCATGGCTGTCGGGAACGTGTCGTTGGAGCTCTGGGACTTGTTCACGTGGTCATTGGGATGTACTGGAGTCTTGCTGCCTAGCTGACCTCCCAGGATTTGAATGGCGCGATTCGCTATTACCTGAGAATTGTTTTGATTCGATTATGACGATTTTCGATTGCCTTTGTTAGAATTTGGATATTGAGTAAGGCTTGATAGTACAAGATCTCAAGCCTGCCTAATCTTATTTATTTTCTTATGGATAAAATATGGATAATCGAGTAGTATTAGTGTGTACAGTGAACGTATACTATTTGTGCTGTGGGTCATTTTTTTTTTGGTATCTGGTGGCACCGGCACTTGAACATTTAACTCACCTAACTTAAAGTCTGAGGACTCAATCCTACGTATGTTGTAGAGACTATTTTAAACAATTTTGTGAAATTCATTCGAATGAATATATTGCTATTCAGTATTTATTGCCAGACACTTTAAATGTTTAATGCAAAAATCACAAACTTGCTTAATTTCTGTCATAATAAAATTAATAATCATTGGATACTACGAAAATATTTAATTATTGTAAAAGGCTTCCTCTACTCACTAAATACCATATATAAATATCAGGTCTCAGACTGTAAGTTTGTTTTTTGCTGCCGATATTTAAAGTGTCTGGCAATAAATACTACGGAGAGTGTGTCTGACAGTATTAATTTAAAATTGTTTACAATATTCTCTACAGCATACGTTAGAATCAGTACCCACACTGTAAGTAAAGAGAGTCAATTTTTTACGTGCCTGGGTTTTAACACCTGATACCTAAAGATTGATCCACATCACAAGTTAGCGAGAATGTATACGTTCATTGTACACACTTACATATACTACTCGTATATTCATATTTTGTCCATGAGAAAATAAGTAAGGTCTGGCAGTCTTGGGATCCTCCTCTATGTTTGGAATAGACAATAATATATTATTTTGATCACGGCTTATTTCATTGTGATACGATAATTTAATAATAATTGTTTATGAAAGACATATAAAATCCAATAAACTGTCATATTCAAATTACAATACAAAAAAAAATAAAGTGTAAACAGAGTAAAAATAATAACAATAAATAATAAAAGAAAAAATAAAATAATTAAAACAGGTATGTAGTTAACGATTTCCTACGTCATTTGCGGTTTTCGTTCTGGTGTACTGATATCCAGTATTTAAATATAGGATTACTAGCTGACCCAGCGAACTTCATACTGCTATAAAAATGGGGTTTGATGGTAGAAGGGTGAACATTTAGGCTGGACCTATGTATTTTTTAATGCCAAATAATAAAAAAAATGACCCAAAAAATAAAAAAATAATGTTAGGGGTGGACAACCCTTAACACTTAGGGGTATGAAAAATAGATAGTAGTCTATTCTCAGACCTACTGAATATGCATATAAAATTTCATAAAAATCGGTCAAGCCGTTTAGGAGGAGTATGGTAACTAACATTGTGACACGAGAATTTTATATATAAGACTAGCTGGCCCAGCGAACTTCGTACCGCCATAAAAAATAGGGGTTGGTGGTAGAAGGGTGAAAATTTAGTGTTGTATGTATTTACTAATGCTGTATCATAAAAAAAAAAAAAAAAAAAAACAAAATTATCTAAAATTGAAAAAAAAAAAATTTGGAGTGGATTACCCTTAACATTTAGGGGAATGAAAAATAGATGTCCGATTCTCAGACCTACCCAATATGCACACAAAATTCCATGAGAATCGGGAAAGCCGTTTCGGAGGAGTTTAACCACAAACACCGCGACACGAGAATTTTATATATTAGACTTAGTCCTTTGCGGTGATACGGTTTTAATTAAAATGTTATAAAAAGACATATTTTTGACCAAAAAGAGACTATACGCTATCTCATAACAGCATAAAAGTCCGATATACGAGCATCGAAAAACATGACCGAGGCGCGGCAATCTCTTATCTATTAGACAAGTCCGTCTGTCCGTGGTGCTGTTTCAGCGGCCAAACCGTAAGAGATAGACAAAGAGAATATTTAAGTTATAAGTTAAGAATAGTCTGATAAGACTACAAACCGGATTTGAGTAACGTAGCACTTCCGGTTTTCGAGAAATCAGGTTTTGGTGAACATTTGGTTCACTGGTTTGGTAGTATCTCGCTAGTCTTATAAGAGAATACGAAATGCATCTTGTATTGCACTCTCATGGAGCTGTATGAGTTACGATTACGGTTAACCCATAGCTGACAAGTATAAAAACATTGACAGTATGAGTTAAAGAATGTCAATTTTATAGATAAGTATTACTTAAATAATTATACAACAAGTCGAATTTTTCCGACACTTCGGAATAATACATATTTTAAATGTAATAAAATAATTACCGGATACTTGGCGTCACTTGATTATAGTAGTACTGAGGATTTGTTGAAGGATCAGAAGGCAAAAATTGAGTATGCATATGTTATATATATTTATTTAATATTTTATACATAATATAAATTTACTTGTAATTCTATGACCTAATATTTATATAAATTATTAATTTTGGTATTGATATGTATTAGTATATTTAGAATATTTATCTTTTTACTTTACGTATACTGTACAGTATTAGCGTTTCGCAGTTTTATCACGACCTGTCGTAAGTTGTAAAATGATATGAATCTACCCTATTTTGTTTACTCGATGATGATCCTACTCTGCTTAAAAACGCTATACAGTTTTGTTACTAAAGCGGAGGGTAGCTGTCAGTCTTTGATGTTGTTACGCACTTAGATTAAAACAAAAAGGGTAGATACGGTACGCTCATACTTGCATCAAACAAAAACTGATCCCACGGCAGCGCGAACGAGACGGCGAGATCCGCGTCACTGCATTACCGACCCAAACGAAACAGCACGTTAAGTTTCAATGGCAGCGCGAACGAAACGGCGAGATCCGCGTCACTGCACTATCGACCGATCACGCGACCAGTACTCGACGTCACTACCGAATAAGATTCAAAACAAATAGCAATTTTTATGAAAAAATATATTTTATTACTTACGACTGAAAAGTGATGCCGTGGGTTTTATTTTTAGTTCTTGAGCAATTTGAGTACTTTTTAAAAACACACTTAGGCATTGTTTTATCACATAAACACAAAATATTAGCAATATTTCTTTTTGGCGTTCACATGTACGTACGTCGTTTGCATGTCAAGTTGTGACTAAAGCGATTAGGGTCGTGGACCACAATTCATGTGGATCACTTTTGTGAGGCTAGTGCCGTATCTACCCTTTTTGTTTTAATCTAAGGTTACGCATACCTTAATATAAACTTGATGTAAAAAAAATAAAAAGGAGTGTTACCTCATTCGTGTTCATGTTCGACTGAGTACCAGACCCTGTCTGCCAAATGACCAATGGGAAATGTCCCTCTTTGTATAGCTTGCCAGAGATCACGTCTTCCGATGCCTGCATAATGGCCTCCGCTGGCAATGAGAAGTGTGAACATTTAGGCGCTTTGCAGACGACGGGGCGGGGCGGGCTTTTTGTCCGCGAAGCAATAAAAACCGCGTCTGCCCGTCGATGTCTGCGACTGCCCTCGCCGCGTACACAAAGCACACGACGGGCAGAGGCAGTCAGTTCAGAACGTTCGTTCTAGTGAATAGTCCATCACTAAAAAGCGCGTGGCGCGGACTGAGCTAGCCGCCCCGCGCCGCCGTCTGCGTTACTGCATATAAACTGGTTTGTATGATCCACGGCGGGCAGCCGCGGACAAGCCTTTTTGCCCTTTGTGTGCGTTTGTAGTATAGGATTCACTTTGTGCTATCGTTCGTGGCGAAATTGACCGGCCCGCTCCGCCCCGCCGTCTGCAAAGTGCCTTATAGTGAATAGCATGTGAAAAAAGCATTTTCAAAATGATCATCATGAGCCAAATAATGTCCCCACTGCTGGGACACAGGCCTTCCCTATGAATGGGATAGAGAGATTGTGTTCGGCCCATTGTTGATTGGTGGGTGCTAATGACTGCAGATGCAGCTGGGACCAACGGCTTAACGCGCCTTCCGAAACATGGAGGAACCCCAGATAGTAAATTTTGGTTGATCCATCCAATGACCGACTATTGCGCAAATTGCTTAATTTCTACGATCGTCACCTGCGCTAACGAGCTCCTTCATCGATCGAGATTTCAAAATCGCAGGAACCAAAATTCACAATATAGTGCGGATTTATGGGGGGCTAACGGCTGCAGATGCAGCTGGGACCAACACCTTAACGTGCCTCCCGAAGCACGTACGAAATCGAGATAATAAGTTATGGTCACCCATCCAATGTGCGACCATTGCGGAAGTTGCTTAACCTTCACGATCGCAGGCCGATTGCACCGACCACCGGCGCCAGCGAGCTACTAAAATCTGAAATCGTACTATCGTTGAATTACCGATTCCTTTGTCAAGGCCATACTCAATGTTGACTTTGGCGGCAGCTTTTTTCAGAATGCCGAAAGCTACAATGATGGGATACTGTAACAACACGAAAGAAAATTATTTAGACAATAAAGCTTGATATTGAGAAAGATAATTAATAGTGCCGAGGACAGATATAATTAAAAAAATAGTGTGCACGGACTATATGTGAACTGAAACTTTTTTTTCTTAACCTAACCTAATTTTACCTTTTTTTTTTTTTTTAATACGCAGGTAAAAAATCTATTTACAGACGACGGCGCCTTTAAGAGGCACACCGCCGAACGGACCTCACACCTGGCTCCCGCAAGTCTTACGAACCCCCCAGTGGCTGCCCACCGAGGACCCCGCAACTCTTACGGGCGCTTTACGGTATAATATCCGCTAAAAAAGTCCTGCGAATACCCTCTAAGCTGCTTAGCGCGAAGCCGCGGGATCCCCGTTTAGGGATTCTCCGCGTCTCCGCACCTAGCAGCCTCCCGGCCAAGCCGGGGCTCCACGGCAGGGGTCTCCCGGGGTATCGCGGGGACCCCGCAGACGTGCGCGGGTAGGCCCGCGCGCGGGGGCTGAGTACGCGGCCTAGTGCCCACCGTACCGCCCCCCAACCTAATTTTACCTAACATTAGGCGGTGCATAAGGCATAAAATGGAATTGATATAAAATACATACAAAACACTTGATAATGTAATGAAAGATGAACAGAATAATTAGCAATGTTTTAGTTACCTATTGATTAGAATTTATTTTGGCAACAAAAATAAACGTGTCATTTGCTTAACTGTAATTATAAAATTTTATATTAAAACTAGTGGCCCGCCGTCGCTTCGCTTCGGTGTAGAGCTGTAGTGTAGACTAAAATTACTCTTCATATAATTAAAAAAAAAAACTGAAAATGGCATATTTGCCTTTTCCAAACTTCTATTGATTATCACGTCACTCAATTGTTTTGGGTTCCCGAAGCTGCTCCACTAACAATTGAAATTTATGGTATGGTATTAAAGTTCAAATTGACTTTTAAGTATTATTACGAATCGTTTGTATGGGAGTATAGAAAAGTGTTGTTTTTGGACTTTACAAGGCAATTTCTTTAATTTTTCTCTGCGTAATAACCATCCTCGTACTTAAAGGAATATTCTAAAAAAAAGAATTATCTAAATTGGTTCAGCTGTTCTCGAGATTTGTGCTTAGCAACACATTCAGCGATTCATTTTTACATTATAGATAATTAAAAAAAACGGAGTTTTTATTTTTGTCAAATGACTTACAATTGAGGGCCCGGCATCTCATAAAAATTTGCAGTCTGCCGGAGGCTCACTACCACCCCCATACAAATTTGAACCTACTCCTTTCCAAAAAAGTGAAAATATTTCAAAGCCTCTACAAAATTTTTGACATTTGACATTTGAAGTTAAACTAACAAAATATGAGTCGTGGGCTGGCGGCGCACTATTTTGGCTCCACTTGTTGAGTGTAAGAGGAATGGAATCTGGAACTGGACGTTCCTATCTCATTTCATTCCATGGGATTCGAACCCTTATCTACCGCTATCCGGATGGAGATGAAGCCGGCTTGAGTCCTGTCTGATGCCTGAACCTAGTCGATTTTTTTCTAGAAAAATCTCCGACGACCTCCGTGGCCGAGTGGTTTGTACGCCGGGTTTCATGGCTGTCGCCGACTCGAGAGGTCCCGGGTTCGAATCCCGGTGGGGGCAGATGTTTGTGTGATGAACACGAGCATTTTTACTTCAGTCATGGATGTTTAATATGTATTTATATAAATATACTTATATATGTACAGTATATGTATTCTATCCGTGACCCTAGCATCCCATAACACAAGCCTTATAGTGCTTACTTTGGGGCTATGCTAATTGGTGTGAGTGTCGGAAATATTTATTTATTTATTTATTATTTATTATAACTACTTATTTATCTAAGGGCATCATGGATGGCTTACCGGCATCCTTTCCTCGAGGCCTCCAATCGGGAAGTTCATGATAGACCTGACGGTTTGGGAGCCATACAGCTTATCATCTGGCACATCTAACTCACCAAACGTATCCCTCTCTTTACGCTGAACAACATTAAAAATAATATGTTACAAAAAATAACTAAGTAATTTTTATTGAAAATAATATTCTGACGACCTCGGTGGTAGAGTGGTTTGTACTTTATAACATAACTTTATAACACCGATTATTAATTTTATTTTTGCCTGCAATCTTCTACCTGACTGTATTTTTCTTAATAAGGCCCAATGGGTCCCATAAAAGAGGTCCAATGGGCACTTTCTTTAAAATCTTGTAAGGTCGAATGGGTACCAAAACAGAGGTTCAATGGGCACATTGAATAGAAAAACTTTAAAAAGGTCCAGTGGGCCATAAATATGAGGTCCAATGGGCAGTTTTTGCTTTCGGGTCGAATATTGAGGGTCCAATGGGGCAAACAGAGAAAATTAACGTATTTCTAGCAACTGTTTTTGGTTTTCTTAATTATTTAAAAGTTCCCTTACTTTAACACGAGAAATCGCTTAATTCGTCTTGTTTCGCAAATTTCTCCTTGCCGATACTAGAAAACAGCATTAGGTACCCTCATGAAAATAACTTGACTGCTTTTCTTTACTTTTAAATAAATTAATACAAAAAACAGTTTTGTGACGGTCCTAATGATGGATATGACTGCTACAATTCATTCAACACTAAATACAGAACAACGAAGGAAGGGAAGCCAGACAGACCGGCGCCGTAACGCGTTACGTAACGAAGCAGTTTACCCTGCCATAAGAAGTTATCACTCCAAAAAAATTTTAGGGGAAGTGAATTAGTCAGGTGTTTTTAAATTACTCGTAACTATTAGGTAATGTTACACACTTACGGTCACATCTATCAAACCACCTAGCATTTTAAGTTTTGACGGTCCCTAGTTAAAATCATTGTAACATTGAGCAAAAAGTTATTACCAGTTTTGAAACTGGATTTATCAACCATCTTTTCGTGTGTGTTTTCAAATTATTGCTCAACCAAATCATTATATTTTTGTTACAGAACGTTGAAACATACATATAACACTAAGTGGGCCAATAGAAGTGTGCGAACAGACCCGTCTTTCTCAGTGGGCACTTTGGGTAAGTGCCCAGGGCCCCGCGATCGATAGGGGGACCCCCTCAGATCAAATACAAAGTCCCTAGTTCCTGTTAAATCACCAAACGGAAGTCATTGGGGCCCCATTATCCTAATATTCCCAGTCCCTGTAGCATGAGCACCACAATTTACATTATAACAAGTTTTATATCGCGACCAACTGTCAATTTCCATCGAAATTTGACAAATGAACGTGATAAAAACGAGTTATATATTCATGCTTCATGCTTCATGCTAGGGGTGCAGGGCCTCCAATAGGTCAAAGACGGCACTGTGTGCGAAAGTATAGTTATAGTCACCTATTGCGAATTCGTTACATAATGTGATTTGATAAATTGGCTGTGGGATTACTCAAACTAGACTGCCTATTTCAGAAATTGACAAGCTGATTCGCCCCATGGTCTCACTCCGATATGATTTGCAGTAGACCACGATAAAGCACTATCTACTCCCGTAATCCTACTTGTCTAGGGATACTATGGTGTTAATATGGTAACAAAATATAACTTCATTTTTGGAACTTACAAATTTTACATTCTTTTTGTCTGAGCTAGCACATATAGTGCAAGAAGCCATTGCTACTATTTGCAACTGGAGAACACAAAGTACTTTAAATTTTACGAAAACTAAATCACTGTAAATTTCTCAAATGCAATTTTATTTATACTTCAGTAATGTCAGTAAAGTGATGGCTTATTAATCATATTCTTATAAACACGAAAAGAGGATTCAACTCAAGCCATAGATTTTGAATTGTATTAAAAAAATCTATATGTACGAAATATTTTCACATTTTAAACCTACATAATTTTATTATAGCTATTAACGGGATTGTTACCATGTACCTTGTTTTTTATGAGTCTCCGATATTTCGGCTCTGTTGCAAGCGCCATGATCACGGAGTAACCTTAGATTAAAATAAAAAGGGTAGATACGGTACGCTCATACTAGCATCAAATAAAATATGATCCGACTCCACTACATAAGCAACTCTTGCCACCCACACGTCTGTAAATAAACATCAATCGAGCGAGCGAGATAGAACTATACGTTTCAACGCAGCGTATTGTTGTCCTTTTCTTGCTTACAAAATGGCGACTACGTAAATAATATTCACGACAAACCGTGATTTTTGAGAAAAAAATGTTTTTACAGTTTTACGAATGAAAAACGTTGCCGGGGCATTTGTTTTTGAAATATTTTTGTTCTTTATAAAAGCATCGAAGGCATTGTTATATCTTCATAACACAGAATATACGCAATATTGTTATATTGAGTGTACATGCAGCGTGTTTGAATGTCAAATTGTGACTAAAGCGAATTATGGTCGTGGACCACAATTTAAGCGGATCACTTTTGAGCCGCGAATGCCGTATCTTCCCTTTTTGTTTTAATCTAAGGGAGTAACTGAAGTAATGGCTTGCAACAGTACCGAACTGACGACCGTCGCGGGCGCCCGTGGCGGACTCCTGCATCACGCAACGCCGCCAGTACAATTGAAATCGCGTGGTTATCGATTATAGATTATTTTTGTTGATTATTATCACCAAGACTAAAGACGACTCAGATAAGAGCACAGAAGACAACCTAAAGCACGAAATGACATGAATAAATGACTGTTTAAGGCATCGGACGCCCTAAATAGTTCGCGATAACATTATGCATATTTTAAGGTTGGCTCCTTTTAACCTTTTTTCTCAAATTAACGCGGGTGAAACCGCAGGGCACAGCTACTTTATTATTATTAGAAGAACCACTTCACTTAGGTAAGACTCTTAATTCTAATAACTTTAGATTTTAGTTACTTTTGGAAAATTCAGCTTCTTGGAAGCACCTAATCTACACTCGACACTAATTTGATAAATTAACTAAAATGTATTAACGACTACCAATATATTAACGATTCCCATTACGTGGAAAAATTGTTGCCAAAAATAACAGGCTTTCCTCATATTTTATCTACGTTAATGATTTAATTCAAGACTAGTGGCCCGCCCTCGCTTCGCTTCGGGGTAGAATTGATCAAAATCCTTTCTTAGCGGATGCCTACGTCATAACATCTACCTGCATGCCAAATTTCAGCCAGATCCGTCCAGTGGTTTGGGCTGTGGGTTGATAGATCACTATGTCAGTCAGTCACCTTTCAGTTTTGTATATGTAGATAAAGGTGTCTCCTGATTTTGCTTACAAAATAATCACGACCTAAAGGTAAGAACTGGATAGACAGCGTCGCATCTATAGTTAAATCAGTCTGGGCTCGCGTAGTGGGTACCGATAACGAACGGAACCATTGATTCTTTGTTACATTAATGGCGGCTGAAGAAGGCTGATGATCGTGTATAGCCTGGCCATAGTCATGGCAATCTAATGCGCAACTTTGATCGAAGAATACTTTGGTCGCCACTTGTAATGGTATTTGTCTCCTTGCACTGCTCCTACTAGTTTACCTCAGAGCACAGGGAAAACAAAAAATAACGATAATGTTATAATAATATTATAAAAAATGGCTTAATCTAAATTTTAAGCATTCCAAAGGCTTATCAGGTAAATACAGTAGTTTTTAAGTCATAGCTAATATAAATCACTTCCTTCTCAGTGAACAAATCATTAAGATAACATAAAAATGGAGTGGTATAAACACTAGACAATCATAACAAATTATAATGTACTTACATGAGTTCTTAAACTATATCTAATATATTTTACCTACTCTGCAGTGGACTGTCAATTGAGAGACCACAAAACTAGACTTTTCCAAATACTAAACATTCACAAGGATTTATCAGGTGGATATTAGGAGTCCTACGGCTCGTATGATAGATATATCGAATATATTGTAATATATATAATCGGTTGGGCTGCAGACTGATCGTAGTCGTGGCAATCTAATGCGCAACCTTGGTCGCAGTAAATACGATTGGGCTGCAGACTGGCTGCAGTCGTGGCAATCTAGTGCGCAACCTTGGTCGCAGAAGATATGGTTGGGTTGCAGGCTGGCCGTAGTCGTGGCAATCTTATGCTCAACCTTGGTCGCAGAAGATATGGTTGAGCTGCAGACTGGCAGTAGTCGTGGCAATCTAATGCTCAACCTTGGTCGCGGAAGATATGGTTGAGCTGCAGAAAGTCCGTAGTCATGGCAATCTAATGCGCAACCTTGGTCGTAGAAGATACGGTTGGGCTGCAGACTGGCAGTAGTCGTGGCAATCTAATGCGCAACCTTGGTCGTAGAAGATACGGTTGGGCTGCAGACTGGCAGTAGTCGTGGCAATCTAATGCGCAACCTTGGTCGTAGAAGATATGGTTGGGTTGCAGACTGGCAGTAGTCGTGGCAATCTAATGCTCAACCTTGGTCGCGGAAGATATGGTTGAGCTGCAGAAAGTCCGTAGTCATGGCAATCTAATGCGCAACCTTGGTCGTAGAAGATACGGTTGGGCTGCAGACTGGCAGTAGTCGTGGCAATCTAATGCGCAACCTTGGTCGTAGAAGATACGGTTGGGCTGCAGACTGGCAGTAGTCGTGGCAATCTAATGCGCAACCTTGGTCGTAGAAGAAACGGTTGGGCTGCAGACTGGCAGTAGTCGTGGCAATCTAATGCGCTAATTTGGTTGCAGAAGATACGATTGGGCTGCACCTAAGTTTGCAGCTGTGACCTCTACTAGCCGTAAAGCGGTCATAGTGCTGGTCGTTTCTAACAGCGCGAGTAATAGCTTCGTCTTTGGTATCGCAATCGTCTGTCTATACTATAGGCTATAGTGGCCTAGCCTTCAGGCAGACCATATGCTTGTTTGTCACCCAATTTAACATAATTTGCCTCTTCATAAATTTAAAATATACATTAAGGCCCGTATTACAGAATGACAACTAAGTGTTGATCTTTACTTGAGAAAAGTTAGAAAGGGGTGTCGCTATGTGCTATTATAGCGACATCCCTTTCTAACTATGCTCAAGAATAAATTAATCACTTAGAATCTTTCTATGATAGGGGCCTAAGAATTGCTTACTTAAGAATGGATAATATACTGTAAATCAATATTTGAATGATAAAACGGCCTGGTTGTAATTTTACCTGTAGATAATTTTTCAAAAGTTTTATTAAAACTGGGGGGGCCTTAGAAAGAGTTTTGAAGAGAACCTTGCACTTACTCCCTTTCATATACTTGTTCAATTTGTTTTGAAGATTGTTTCTTGCTATTTTGGGACTTTTCTTTACACTTATTGTTAGTAAATTCGTTTATTGTCTATTATTACCTATTTGACATTATGTGATGGAAGTTGACCTTAACACATGTTTGGAAGTTTGATGTCAACTTTCAATTTGACGACACTGTATGAAATAAAACAGGGAGAAAAAAGCAGCCCTTGCTGAGTTTCTTGCCGGTTCTTCTCAGTACAAGGTAGTTCTCCCGCGGTAGTTTTGCAAACCGATGGCGTAGTTTTCGACATTCACATGTGCTTGTAAAAGCCTTAACTGAATATTTGATTTTTGATTTGAATTGAATTGAATAAAAGTTTTACGCTGCTTGATCTATTTATATAAACTTCCGTTCGCTAAGGGCCCCCTTTACCTACTCCTTGAATACGCAACTTATTCTCGACAGTGAATTATAACTCTTAGGACGAAATTAGCTGAGATTACCAACAATCCGAGGCCTTTATTAGAACGCATAACTTAAGCAAATCCTTAGCAAATAGCCGGGTATTATTTCTCTAGGAATTATAAACATCTCTGTAAGTAATATACCTTTTCTGTTCATATTCTGGATATTACTTTCTTTATGGCTATTAATGGGATTATTACCATGTACCTTACTTTTTATGAGTGTCCGATATTTCGCATTTGTTGTAATGGCCATGATCACAGAGTAAAAAGGTACATGGTAACAATCGCGTTAATAGCTTTAATGTTTGTGCTTGGTAAAGTACCATTTGTTTTAGAAATCTGTACTAATATTTTAAAGCTGAAGAGTTTGTTCGTCCGTTTGAAAGTGCTAATCTCAGGAACGTAAAAATACCCCTAGCACGTACCATCATTAAATTGGAATAGTTTGCGAGTCCGAAATATCATTCAAATCAAATCAAATGTCAAATTTTGTATGGAACCTTGAACAGCAGCGCCACACTGGACGTAACGAGAACTAAAAATCAGTACACATTTGACAGTGACATTTTGCACTCGCAAACTATTCGAATTCGGTAATTACTGCAATTCCTATTCTGCACCCACGCGCGTGACTCCGTCGCCACGCATTCCGCAGCGTAGTGCAGGGCAGTGTGGGATTCGCTTTATACGATCACTACTATAATAATTACACAAATTATTACTTAAGTACTATTTATTACAATACAGTATTAAATAACTTATTTATAGATAAAACTTATTTTACTAATTGCTTTATAATAAATATTTTTAACTGTTTTAATTAATTTACACTTTAAACGCTCAATGGTCTGGAAAATTGTCATTAATATATTCGAATAACGTCTGAAAACGAGCCTGTAAAGTAATTAAGGGTTAATCCAAGGACCCAAACAGTAAGATATAAATATATTGAGGATCGCATCAGAAATGAGGTAATCCGGCAGAGAACCAGAGTTATCGACACAGCCCACCGGATTAGCAAGTTGAAGTGGCAGTGGGCTGGCCATATTTGTCGAAGAACCGATAACCGTTGGGGTAGACGAGTTCTGGAGTGGAG